GTCAGGAGAAAAAGCTAATAATTTCTGAGGCAAAATCGAAATATATAATTTATCATAAGCCAGGCCAAACTTTAATAAGAAACCCAACCATCCAGCTTAATGGGAAGACCATCAAAAGGGTCAGAGAACTAAAACTCCTGGGTATTATATTGGATGAAAAGTTCACCTGGCTGCCTCACCTTAAAGCCCAAAGAGAAAAGGCTCGCCGAATCGCAAACAATCTGCAAAAAATGCAAGGCCCGCACTGGGGCCTTCGGCCCAATATCTACAAGATACTTTACTCCACTGTCGCGGAGAGGGTCCTAACCTACGGAGCAGCCATCTGGGCAGCCCCGATGACAGTCAGAAAGGCAAAATTGCTAAGTAGTGCACAGCGACCATTTGTCCTGGCCATAACGAAGACCTACAGGACAACGTCGACTGCGGCCGCTTCGGTATTAGCAGGGCTTATGCCGCTCCCAATCAAAGCGCAGCAAGAAGCCTCAATTGCAAAGGTGACGCAACTCCAACAGCCATGCACATATGGGGATACATGCTATCTGCCAGAAGTCTACGAAACACGCAGGTCCAAACTAAGCACACATCCGTCGGAATATGGACTGGGCATAAGGACTTTCCACTCACCAGCGTTAACCCCGCGCTTAGACGGACCAGGGGCCGTGCTTTATACAGACGGGTCAAAAATTGATAACGCTGTAGGCAGTGCCTATATAGCCTATATAAATGGAAACATAGCAAAGGAATGGAAGGGCCGTCTGGGGGAGCACAGAACTCAGTGTTCCAAGCGGAAGTAGTTGCCCTCACAAAGGCAGTGAAATGGGCAATTGACACACGGCAGAGTCGAGCTACGATATTTACTGACAGCCTGTCAAGCATTTATGCTATCAACAACCCTCTCCAGCGCTCCGCACTAATCTCGCACCTGCAAGAAGTCCTCCGTCTACAAGAAAAGTCAATGAGAATCCAAATTTCCTGGGTGAAGGCGCACGCCGGAATCCAGGGAAATGAAGCAGCAGACGCTCTTGCCAAGAAGGCTGCCCAAAATGAGGAAACGGAGCAGATTCAGGTGCCCCTGCCCCGGTCATGCCTAAAGAGGCAAATAGAGGAGTCCGCCATTGGAAACTGGCAGAATGAATGGGACCAAATCCCGCAAGGCCGCAGAGCATATGAGTTCCTGCCCAAGGTAGAGGTGGACCGGCTCATCTCATCGCCCTACCTCACGCGATATATAACAGGCCACGGCCCCTTTCCGACGTACTTTGCAGAAAGGGGTCTAGCAACAACTGATATGTGTGTTTGTGGCAACGTGGGCTCACCAGACCATTATGTCACGGAGTGCCCCTTAACAGCAGAATGGCACATAAAATTCCCAACTACCAATGTTCTGCCTTTCAAACGCCTTCTCATAAAACATCGAGGCACGCGGCAAAAGCTTAAATGCATAATGGCCAAACTAGAAAAAATCGGCATAGACCTCTGCAGGCCGGAATAGGGCACCTGCAATAAACATAAAAGCATCTTACAACTGTGAAGACTCAAGATGGTTGCAGGGCCAGGGTAATACCCGAGTAGTCATAGAAAGCCGTCCGGGTGCCCTGTCCTGCTGTCACCTGTCACCCTGCCAAAGGGATAATAGAGCAAAGCTGGTTTTTGTGTCCATCCATGCTGCAGCTACCGGAAAGTTTGTGTCAACGTCAACTGTGCGTAGAAGGCTTTACCAAGTTGGTCTGTATGCAAGGCGAACAACCATTTGCGTGCCGCTCAAATCACGCCATAGAAGGGACTGTTTGCAGTAGGCACGACAACATGTCCACTGGACGCCTGATCAATGGAGGGCGGTTCTCTTTACGGATGAGTCCAGGTTTAGTCTAGAAAGCGATAGTAGGCGTTATTTGATATGGAGAGAACCTAGAACCCGTTATCATCCGCCAAACATCTGTGAAAGAGATGCATACGGAAGAGGTAGTGTCTGTGATTGGGGTGACATCTCTTTGGGTGGACGCACAGACCTCTATGCCTTTCCAAGGGGAACCGTGAATGCTCAGATTTATAGAGATGACATCCTTGATGTTTATGTGCGCCCATATGCCGCGGCTTTAGGTGATGCTTTCCTGTTACAGGACGTCAACGCAAGACCACACCGGGCTCGCATCGTAGATGATTATCTTCAACAGGAAACAATTATGCGCATGGAGTGGCCAGCTCGATCCCAGGACTTGAATCCTACCGAGCACGTTTGGGATGCTTTAGGGAGACGTCTAGCTGCTCTCAATCCGCCCCCTCAGACCCTTGTCGCGCTTGCAATTGCTTTGCAAGAGCAATGGCTCTCGCTTCCTCTGGAACTGATAGACCGCATAATTGAAAGCATCACACATCGCTGTATGTGCTGTATTGTTTCTACAGGGAATCATATTTCATATTGAAGGTACTTTTCCTATAGCAAACTGACACCTTCGATTTGTTCATTTTATACATGTGCTAATTTCTATACTACCATATTTTTCTGGTAATTTCTTTTTATGTTATTTGATACCTTACTATGTGTTGTGTATTGTGGGTAAGTTTCATTAAATTCTACATTTAACTTTTTCAGTAATCGTGATTTTTGTGATTTTTCCTTAATTTATGATAACCAGTGTATTTTCCCCTCCTTTCCGCATGCCTTCGTGGTGTAATTGGAAAGATACGTACTCGACGCGTATTCAAGAGGTCCAGGGTTTGAGTCACTGCGAGGGCATTGCACGTTTTTCATGTCTTCTGGTTCACAAAACCTGGTAACTCTCCAAGTGGCGCCGAACTAAAAGGTGATGGACAATTCATCACCACCAGTATTTGGGGATTGGATCCTTTTATCCAAAGTCGCCCTTTCAAAGGGCAGTATATAAGATATTTTCTCTCTCATATCCGCATGTCTTCGTGGTGTAACTGGAAGCATACTCGACGCGTATTTGAGAATTCTAGGGTGCGAGTGCCGGCGAGTGTATTGTACATTTTTCACGTCTTCTGCTTCAAAATAACCTAATGACTCACTGGTATAATGCTCATCACAAATGAGACCTTTAAAAAGGAGAACTTTCCACCACTGCATTGGAGATTGGTTGGATTCTTAGTCACATCTTCTAGAGAAAATGGCCTGGTCAGAGCAGTAATTTTACGTATTTCTTCTACGAGAGATTTTAGGAGACTCATTATTTTCTTCTAGATTGAATTTACATTTTTTTCTTTTCTAATTTCTTCTTCTTTCCTGTCATTTAATATTTTTATACACCATTGCATTTATAATAAAAAAATTGGAAATGATGCCTTTTTGCCCTTAAGCTTGCTTTGTTTTTCAACTTTTTCCAAGCACTGTTTATATCTCAGTTAGAAGTTTTATATATTATTGCTTGAAATCGTGGAACTATATTCTTCAGCAAATGCATGCATTTTTATAATACATCTAACGTTTTCAGGTGATACTGACATCGTCTTCAGAGCAGAAACGTTTCAATTATTTATGCTCATAAGGACAAGCAATATCAGTAAATCGAGAAAAATTGCTTGCAGATTTCTAATGCTGATTTCAAGCTGGGCAACATAATATGCAGAGTTCTTTAGTACGTATAATTATTGAGTTGTATGCGTTTGTTTTCAATGCACATATAAATCAGGCAAAGTACTCTTAGACACAAAATTCAAGCAAATTGCTATACTGACTGAACTGTGTGTGAATTGTTCCACACACAAAATGTCCGGTGAAGTATTTTGCTACGTAAATCATGACTACCTTAAAGAATATATTATGTGGCGTAGAAGTTTTATTAAGTGCTCATGCTAAGAACTATGAAAACCACGAAACTGTCTAAAAAATAAAGAACCACGAAAACCATGAAACAATAAAAAACCAAGAATCATGAAGAACATGATATATGAAAATTGTCAAATGATTTATTGTCTGTCTGCTTTCTATCTAAAGGTATCAGAATTCTAAGTTAAAGTTTAAAATAAAAACTATTTATAAGCTCTCAGCTAACGGTTGCATAAACTGGAAAGTATAACAAAAATAAAATTCCTCTGTTGGTAGTTCAAACTGAATCCGAAATACAAATTTTATATGCTGGTTTGGCCATAAGTGTTCGTAAGGTGAACACAGGTAGGCGAAGGCGATGAATTAAATTCAAATACCGGAAAAGTGAAGCAGAATTGAGATCAGCATATGCTGCTCTCTCTCTAAACTCAAGAATACTACTCTTATTTATATTTAAACTAATTTGCATTCTGATGAAAGCTGATGAAAGTAGAAGTGAAAGTAAAACCAAAGTAATCAGGTAACTGGGATTAATTAACATGAAACATCGTAAAGTGCTCCAAAGATGATGTGCACAGTTATGATCAGCAAAAAGATGGGAGTGCCAAGAAACGGGAAATAAATTCCGGAAATATATTTATGTATAAAAATAGAGATAATAAGGTATTTTCTCCGTCCTTTAAGCGGGCTTTCGTGGTGTAACTTGATAGCACGTCCGACGCGTAATCGGGAGATTCGGAGTTCGAATTCCGGCAAGGGAAATGTCCATTTTTCACGCCTCCTACATCGATAAACCTAATGACTCTTTGGGACCGGACTAAAAGGTGGTGGACAATAATCACATTAGGATTTGGTGATCGGGCCCCTTCCCCGCCAGTCGCCTTTTAAAAGGGGAAGCATGTAAGGAATTTTCTCCCTCCATTTTGCCTGCCTTCATGCTGTAATTGGATCGTACGTCTGACCTATAATTGGGAGGTTTGGAGTTCACGATCCGGTGAGAGCATTTTTCATTTTTCACGTCTCCTGCATCGATAAACCTAAATAAATCTGCAATATAAACAGAAAAAAAATCATAATAACTGCGTTTTTAGGATTTTAACAATACAGCATTTAACCATTTACGAATGATAAAGAAATTTTGCTTATGAATTTAAGGGAGCGGCACACGAGATGAATAATAGGCAAGTAATTTTTGTAACAATATTTAATTTACCTAGAGCTTTCGCCAATCCTATAATATCATCCTCTCCAAGAGGTTCTTCTATTTTTGCTTTTGGTGCTGCTTCTTCCACATTTACAGTCACATTGAACTAAAATTGAAATAATTAAGTTATTTCCAATTAAATGAAAAAAAAAACACACTAATAACTATTGTACATATAAATAATAGGATGGATGATGGATTTTCTGGCGCATAGGTATATTATTATTTATTTTTCTTGTTTAAGCATAGCATAAAATTATAAAAAAAGAATATGTTGATGAAAATTTATTAATGTTAAAAAGAAACAAAGCAAACTTATGTAACCAATTAATAGATTATTGAGTGCTAGTTAATGCAGTGATTAAGAGATGCTTAAGATTCGCAAGATGAATTCAGAAACATATCAGGTAAAATCTCAATCGATAAAATAACATTGAATTGCTTTAAAACAAATTAATTATGTAAGAATAACCATTCTTTTAGGTTTGGGATCTAAAATTGCAGAGAAAATAGGTATGACAGGAGAGATGTGAAAAATTAGCAATGTCCTCGTGTCCTCGACAGGACTTCGGACCTCTCGAATAAGCGCCGAGTGTGCTGACCGCTACACCACGAAGGCATGCTAAGAAGGCAGGAGAAATACCTTATATATCCCCCTTTTAAAGGGCGACTAGAGATTAGGGGATCCAATCGCCAAATCCTGGTGATGGAGAATCATCTACCATTTTTCTAGGTCAGGCGACACTGTAGAGACATTAGGTACTTTTTGAAAGCAGGAGAGATGTGAAAAATGAGCAATGCACTTGCTAGGACTCGAACCTCTGACCTCTCGAATACGCACTGAGTGTGCTGACCAGTACACCACGAAGGAATGCCAAGAAGGCGGGAGAAATATCTTATAACATCTTGGAGAGCAATGCAAATATCCCGCCTAATCATGTTTTGGTGGGCCAGGCGAATAAAAGGTCTGGATTACATATATCACATTGACCAACTGACCTTCTTTGAGTATCCTGATTCGCCAGCAGCGTAGACGTTCTGGACGAAAAGCTCAGAGACAATTTTCTCTTCTGATGGGAAGAGTAGGTCGATCTCTGAAATAATAACATAACTGTAATTCAATGTTTTGTCCTCTAAAACTCTGACGTCGACTTGCTCATTTTTTTTAATCCAAGGAGGGAAGTGGATTGAGTTGCGGAAGTATTTTCAAAAAGAAGATCTCTAGAGCGATGCCGTTTCATATTTTTGGGTTCACAACCCAGGCCTGTATGAATTTATGAATAAAATAATGAACATGCTTTTTGGAAATCATAAATGAGTTGTTGACTACTCTAATCGGTGTAGTTTTGACAATGCTGGCTGCCATATTGTTGAGTTTAGATTCGAATCTTGAAGAAAGCATGCATGCTTACAGGTGTATAATGTCTGTGCTGCATGAGGGTACTTAAAACAGTGGCCAGCCAAGAACCTTTTCTAATAACTTCACGACAGGAGAAGAGAAATATGAGACTTTTTGATCCATTCCGTGGGGTGTTTTCGAACAAAATCCGGGCGGGCTACACAAAGTAATTCTGTATAGATAGTGGGATGGGACTATGCATGCACGATTAAAGGTGAAATTCTGGTGCTCCATGTAGTTTAGTCTCTACTTGCAGCGTTGCTGATAACAAGAAAACGTGATAATCTTCTTTAAGGATTTGCATTTACATTTGTTTTCACAATTGTATAAGCAAAAGCCTTTGGACTTTGTGAATTTAACTGAGCCAGATTTGAAAGAAGATTCAGACCCGACAGTTCCACCCACCATGTAGCCCAGCAATTAAATTCAGATTCCTATGTCGGGGCTAAAGGGTCCATACACTCATTGAAGCCCAATAGTCGGATTTCCCAAAGCTGAATTCCCGATCGCTTACCCTCAAGCTATTGTTACTAAGGTGTAGTAACCAGCCAATTGACATCAGATGACATTGCTAAATGGTTTCCGTTTCAACAGAAGCCGAAGCCAAAGCAGCTTTTTAGGGATAGTAACTCGCCCCTCAGCTGTCAAGCTTCGGCCTTCAGCCTTACGAGTATTCATGCTACGGGAACATGTAAACAGGTTTCTCTACATGAGAAGCAGAAACAGAAGGTGTGCAACAATAACTCACATTGAGCCCAACCTGAAAAGGAAAAGAGAAATAGGAAAGATCACTGCTCCCCGAGGTTGAGACATCCATGCTTACGAAGAATGTGATCACATGAGGGATACGGATCATAAACTATAAGATGCTGTAAGGTGTATTTTAATTTTATATCAGTTATTTTTAATTTTGAAACACTTTGCTTTCAGTTCTTGTTTTCCACTTACAACTGCCTGCCCGAATGAGTTCTTAGAATCGCTTTGAATATAAATAAGGTAGAAGTAGTATTTAAGGAAGGTTCAGCTTCCTTCAGTAGGAGATCTTAGGAGTCCTTAGTGGCGCGTGCTTGACGTCAGGTTACTACTCTCGGCCGTACTGTACGTACCTGTTGATAATCACCGGCTAATTTAATTAAGGGCAAACTACGTTAGGTATTTGTGTCTAGCTTCGGCTCAGTCACTTTAGTATTAGATTAGTTTCTTATTTTTCTTATCTTGATTCAAAGCCCTAGCGGAGGCTTCCCTGTACGCTTGACAAGGGGCCGAATTTATTATTTCTTTGAGTGAATAAAAGGGTATTTTAACCCTTCGCTGGTCGTTACACTTGGAACTCAGCGATAAGTCGCTATACAGTTCAGCAGCTTCCTCGACATTCAGCATAAACCAAGGAGTGAGGAACATTATCATAATCAGATTAGAAAAGTGTAGAACTAAAGTTAAAATTTCAGCTGATTGATGGATAAGTATTTTTAAAACAGAAAGAAAATCCTGCACAGAAGATTAAAATTTCTTTGCTTTTATAAAATTAATGAACTTATAAGGCATTTCTTCCGCCTTCGTAGTGTAGTGGCCAGCAAACTCGGCGCGTATTCGAAAGGCCCGTTGTTCGAGTCCCGGCGAAGGCGTTGCTCCTTTTTTATCTCTCTTGCTTCGAAATAATCTAATGTCTCTACAGTGGCGCCCGAACTAAAAGGTGGTGAATGACGACTCTTCACCATCATGATTTGGCGACTGGGTCCTCTAAAAACCCCAGTCGCCCTTTAAAATGGGGAGTATATAAAGTATTTATCCCGCCTTCTTAGCATACCTTCGTACTGCAAGAGTCAGCACACTCGGCGCGTATTCGAGAGGCCCGTGGTTCGAGTCCCGGCGAAGTCGTTGCACAGTTTGTATCTCGCTTGCTTTGAAATAACCTAATGTCTCTACAAAATTTATATCTTGGAATTTAATTTCCAATCTATACAAAATAAAACTTATAACCTTTCTAAATCAAAGTCAGATTCAACATTTACATATTACTGAATTTGACTGCAAATATATTTGAAATAAAACGAATGTTTATTCAAAGCTCAAAAGGTAAAGACAGTAAAAAAGGGACTAACTCACAAGGAAAGTCTTCTAACAAGAATTGTTAATGCGGTTAGAAAAGAAAATTGGTAAACTTTGCATGTCAAAAAAGAATGACATCAGTTTATCAGGATTTGTATTTCTCTTGATTTACTTTGGAAACATGAATGGTCCTGAATAGGAACAGGGAGCTTACTCAAGCTATGTTCAGGAAGGTGTTAAATAGACAACACAAGCAGGAAGGGTATACGAAACCCTTTATTTTCTATCTTATACAGGTATTTCCGAAACTTCGGAATACAGAGACCAACCACTCGTGGTCTGAACCTAAGAATATAAAACTACTAACTAAAACACTAACTAAAAAATCTAACTTTGAATTAGTATACAAATGCCTAGCACTAAGATTGGCCCTTTATTTAATGAAAGGTACGTATGTAGTACGCCGAGCTGCTTAAACTACAATACGTTCGCAAATAACAAGAGGGCTAAACCTCTGGCCTTAAAAGCAACCAGCCACACAGTGAAAACTCGTAAAACTACAGTGGCAAGTGGCTTGCTTCCTATAACTACTTCTTCTCCCTCTTGGCAAAAAGCCACAACTTAAGTACTTGGCGTTAGCAAGACAATTTGCATAAACAAGTTAAAGCATTTAATTCTGGCCGGAAGTAGAAAATAAGAAGTGATAGTACAGTTTTAAAATAAAATAAACGTTAGTAAAACTTAGGATCCTTACAAGTTAATTCCTGGTATTTCCAAAAAATGCCGAAAAATCACAAATACAGAATTTTTGATCAACGAAAGAACGAATTTTAAGATGAACTGTTTGTTTTTTAACTATGGCAAAGAATTTCAGGGTTATCTGCCTAAAATAAAGGGTACCTTACACGGAGATGTCTTTTACGAAAAAGGGCTTCTATTTAAAATATGCATCGGGAAAATATGAAAATGCCAATACAGCTGGCCTATTTCTAGAATTTGAAACCAAATCGGGCTACTAATATTTAGCAGTCTTATCAGTCTGAATCACTTGTGGGCATCAAATGTTCTCAAAATTTGATGTAACTGATTTGACTTCCTATTTATGGATTTGATACAAACTGTAATCTCTACATATAATAAAAGAAAGAGTCTGTGTGTCCTTCGTTCGTGCTGCACGTAAGCTAATAGACCGAGGGCTACGAAATTTGGTACATGGGTGCATCTAGACAAGAGCCAGTGCACTTCGAAGCGATTTTTTTCCAAATTCGAATCAGATTTTTTAAAATTTTATCTTTTCGATTTTATCGCATCATTTTGAATAGCTTTATTCTTTTAGAAATGTGGTTTTGGCAACAGTTTTTCATTCAATTGTATACTCGACTGCTGACTGTTGAAAATCAGCACTGTTGCCACTCAGAAAAATGAGGGCGATAATTCTGTGGAATTTTTAAATTTAATGCTTCTCTTGGATACTGGACGTTTGTTGAGAGAAGGCAACGGGAAGTTGTTTAATTTATTTATTAGGATAATTAATATTTGTATTAAAGGATATTGCTTATTTCATTGTAATTTTGTTATATGTAATACATTAAAAAAATGTTTTTTTTAATGAAGTTGTTTTTTAATTTAACTTTTGGCAATTTTTCGGTACATTTAAAGCCAGACGAAGGCTGGCCCCGTCGCTGCTAGTTATATATAATTATCCGAATTTGGTCCAGTTTATTATATGTAGCTGGTCTACGAAACCAACTATAGTGTTATTATGATACGCTTGTTTGGATGCAATTAATATGTACTATATTAATATAATAAACAAACTGATTGTCGTATGAAACCCGTATTTGTTTGGGAAGATGACTGAAATAACATCATAATGTTTTCCAGAATAACTTATATTTACCGTTTCATATTATTTATTTAGTTAGCATGCATTACCAAGCAAAATATACATAACTTTGCATTAATTTTTGCCAAAATATGAGCAGATGGTGATTGAGAATAAACATATTGACATGCATATATATAATTAATAGAAGAGATGGAACACATTGTATACACATTAGGTTATTTTGAAGCAGGAGAGATGAAAAATGAGCAATGCCCTCGCCGGGACTCGAACCCCGAGCTCTGGAATTCACGTCGAGCGTGCTCACTACTACACCACGAAGGCATGCTAAGAAGGCGGGAGAAAAACCTTATAACATAAAAGCATAGCTATACTCAAATTCAGACAGACTGCTCATAATTAACCTATTTATTATTTTATATTTATTTCAAGGCTTACTTATTTGACACTTAAAAATTTTAAATATCACAAAATAGTGCTGCCTTAGCATCATTTTACTTCTGCAGTTTTTTTTTAAGTCTGCAACAATTCCCGCATAATTATTTAAACATTATGTATTTTTAACAAATTCATTTATACAGATATTTATATTTTCAAACACATCGAACATTTAAGGGTGAAATATCTTATTTGTCAGTTATATTTACATAATAAAGTTCCTACAGTCTTTTTTGCAGTATAGTGTGTTAGGGATTCATAAATGTATCTATTATTTAATAATATTTCATCATTCATTTTTAAAAATAATATTTAATAAAAAATAACTAGTTCAGTAATTAACGCATACACCTGAACATTTGATGACTTTATAAACATTGTAAAGCTATTTTGGAGGCTACTTTTAAAACGGAAGTGAGAAGTTTAAAACAAACCGGAATGATACACTTCAGCATTAAGCTGAAAAGAGTATCGGCAAATGCGCGTACAATAAACGTCATAAATAAGAATATAATGTAATAAAAATTGTAAAATATAAATGTAATAGCATGTACATTTTTTTAAATCAAGAAATTCTAAATAAAAAATAGTACATCAAACTTTGCTTACAATTCTAAAGTTTCTGATCAGTTCCAGAAATAATGATATGAAGTTATTTTTTATTCTTGGTTAAATTGCAATTTTAAATAGCTAAAAAAAGCTGGTTTCATGCTCATATAACGCCTGCTATTTAATTAAATAGAAAAATTTAAGTAAACGAATAGACATTTCAGGTTTAGTTACAGAATAAATTAGTTAAATGAAAAAAGAAGAGTTAAAATACGCAACTAATGGTAAAACATATAATGTGCTCATTAATACACAGTAAGTGTTAATTAAGCTTATAAGGATTTTTAAGTTTTTACTAACGTTTATTTTATTTTAAACTTTTCTATCCTCTCTTATTTTCCATTTCTAGCCAGAATAAGCGCGAGTAGGATTTTCATGCTAATGAGCTGCAAACTGTAAAAGGTATTTAAGAAGTGGCTTTTAGCCAAGAGAGCTTCCTACTGCCCTGCTACGTGCGTGCTTTTCAGTCAGTTCGTGTCGGCCTTTTAGGCAGTTACTGCTGATATAATAGGCATTGCATTTAGCTCACTACTTACGCATTGTCAAAAGGCCAATCTTCGCGTTAATAGTCTATGTTAAGCATTTACGTTTAATCTTATTTAGTTATGTGAATTATTAAGTGAATATTTCTTATTTTTTGCCTTTTAGACCAAAAGAGTTGGTCTCTGTATCCCACAGTGAGGGAGCACCTGTACGCTATGCGAAATAAAGGTAAAGTTAACCCTTCTTAACTTGTTTGTCTATTACACGCACACACGAACATAGCTTAAGTAAGCTCCCTGTTCCCACTTCACATTTCTGTGATGTTTCCCAAGTTAATTAGAAGGAACAGTAGTCCTGACAAGCTGACATAAAGTATTTAAATGTTTTATTTTCAAATTCTGAGGAAAATAATGCAAATACGATTGCATATTTTAAATTAAGATTAATGCAACAAATACCAAAGATTATCGAGAAATTTACTTCATTAGTATTTTTTCATTCTTGAAGCCGAAATCAGCTTCTAAAAAGCTCTGTGTTTTCTACATTCAGTAAGTTACACAAAAAAATGAATTTTTTGGATAATTCAAAAGAAACAAAAAAGAGGAAAAAGGAATGAATAAAAAGAATAAACATTTATGAAACTACGTGTCAATTAAGATGGGAAACTAATTTTATGTATTGTTCTGCTCTTTAAAAACAATTTTATCTCTTTTTTCTCTCTTTAAAAGTCTAGATCTCTTCAACTTATCTCTAGTTTATAAAAAAGCAAGCATAAAATAACCATGCAAATACAACATTTCATTAGCGATTCTAAAACGCTTTTATGCTAAGCGGCTAAGTAAAGCAGATTTTTATTAAAATGGGGAAGAATAGTGATCTAATACCAACATTACATTGAAAATATTTGTAATTTTAAGAAAGCAGTATAATTACTTTACAGTTCTGCTGTGGTGGACGATTCACACTGTACATTAATGTAACAAATAATGAGCCAATTCCATATCCCCTTGTTTTGATGATTAAAGTGCCACCTATGTTTTTTACCTAAAATTAAAACAAAGACATAAAAAAATAATTAATAAATCAAAAAATAATCTGCACTGAAAATAAAGCAACAAAAGATATCCCATTCATAGCATTTAGAAATTATGCAACGATGGTATAATTGCTTGACCAAATAAAATGTCTTTATAACAATAAAACTTAATTAAAATAAAACTTACTTCCAAAGTCTGCAAGATCATTGCATTATCCTCATTTATAACCAGACTCTGATGGAAATTTTTATCGTTGCTTGATGTAACATTTATCACTAAATTGATTGAAGGCATTTGAGATCTTATAGCATATTCCGAGAGAGCCTGAAGACCAATAACTGTATCCTGTAATTGAAATACATAAAGAGCGTAGTAGTTTGAAATATCACGATTTGACATATAAACAATACAAATAAATATCTGAATTATACACAGACTGTAACAGATTGGATATTAATAAAATCATCTTTTGACAGAAGAATTCTGTAAAGATGTATACAAATATAGAATAGTTTGAAGAAGCTAGAGGAAAGAAAAATACAATAGAACTCCAGATTATCCAGATTTCTTATCGTTCCATGCAGGCCAAGTAAATTAACCCTATTGTAGCGATCACGTGGTGGTATGCCCCCTTGGCACTGTGAAGTGTATACAGTTGTGTGCTCGTGTCACTATCTAATAGCATGGATGAGGACGCACGAGGGTGGTGGCTCTTGAAGATTATAATGACTTTGGGATCTGATCTTTGTAAAATGACGGTCGAATGTCATACCGCTAATGCAAAAGAGCTTTTGTGCGATAGATTCTGGTATTCGAACTCCTTTGTAATGAGAGCGTTCGATTGGCTCTTGAATTCGCTACACGATTGTTCTTTATTTGAATCTTTTTTACGATAAAAACAGTACATGCCAAGCAATTTTTTTGCAGAATGGAATAATGCTTCAATTTACAACAGAATGCATTGTGGTAATAAACACACTTTATTTAATTATTATTTATGTCAATTCGCGAGAAGACGCAGGAATGAAGATAAAATGTCATTTGAACACATCTTAGTTGACACAATTGTTTATTGAATGTATTTAAATTAAATATTTTCTTGTTATTACTAATCCCACTGATTTGGATCAGATAAGTACATTCGCCTTCATAATTTTCAACACGAAATTAGGTCTCTTTATCAGATCTTCACGCATCAAGCCAACACAACGAAGCAGAAGTTGCGCAGTAACTTCATAATTTTTACATTTAGCGCAAGTGGGAGAATTTTCAGTATTCAGTACTACAGGAACATCTGAAGGTCCTTAAATATCCTGAAGTCAACCGAATCAGAGCCGTGTGATCCTTCCTGACACCCTTGAAACCAGTAGGAGTACCAGGACCTTTACTACGATACATGTGTGTGTCGGTAGCTGTCTCCAACAATTAATTAGAAGAAATTAAATTAACCAAGCCTGATTACAGCATTCTCAGCACCATAAGCTGCCAATACAGTTGACGCCTTGCATAAATTAATTGTATTAAAATTCTAAACGAAACGTATTTTTATTCCTTTGGGTTCTTGATCGAATAAATTAGGGAAGCAGTAAGGGCGCTCTCAAACATTCATCTATTTCCGACGAAATTATTTCAAACAGTTTTTCTACCAACTTTATCATCGTAATAAAGAAGCATGATGTTTTCCTCTGTTCCTGAGAAAGTTGTAGATTGTAGGTTTTTCACACAATTAGCACTGAATTAAAATATAATGGGAGTTCTTTGCTGGTGGTCTCTATATTTGTGAAATGCAGAACCATCTCTTTTGCATTAGCAATTTTCCCCATGGAGGTAGGAAGTAAGGTGGAGTCGCCCTAAACAAGTTTCTCCCGTATCCTGCTCTGAAGCACCGGCGATCCCTACGTGGTGACCAAAACATTGGGTCATTTACCATTGAGTTCAATGGGACTTGACGCGTTCGGATGTAAATATTTTGTAATTACGTCGTAAATGTACATATAAATGTATATATTTTCTTTTTCTACAACACTTCAGAGTCCTAAGTATGTGAAAACAACATATTTTTAAACAACATTTCATTCTGAACGGAATTAAAAGCTATTCTTTTCACAGGAGAGTTTTCTTAGAATGGTTTAATTTGAATGAAATATTTTCACAAGTTTTCGTTAATTACATTAGAAAAAAAAAATTAAGGTAATTCGATTTTATTCGGTTAAGGTACAAAAATTAAGATTAAAGTTTATTGTATTATTAATATTAAAATTATGCATTATTTCTTTTCTATTTATAGAGCTTCTTCCTAAAATACTTTCTTAAATATGACATGTTTTTCTGGCTTCTGAGGCATCTTTTAAATCGAAAAATGTAAGTCAATTTATAATTAATGCTCTATTCGATTCATTTTAAATTAGATAATTATTAGGAATTAGCGAAATACTTTAAATAGTACTTGACTTTCTCTGAACATTTCTGAAAGGAAATAAAATAAGTTTTTTTTGAAGTATTATTTAAAACTTGTAACTGAGTTATTATAAAATGTAAGGGGGAATAATTCTTTTAATTATACTTATCAGATTTTTTTTTACCCTTCATTTCAACAATACATAATCTAAAACTCTTTATTACGTTCCTAAGTGCGCATCTCATAGCATTTGCTTTACAATACCTTTTAACAGATTGCTTTCCAATACGAACAATTCTTGCTTAAATAGTTTTATAACGTATTTGTCAACAGGATTTCAATTTATGTTTACAATTCACTATTAAGGTTATTATATATTTAGATAACATTTATAATTATTATAAATTAGATACATTTAATAATTAGATTTCTTCACAGTACTTTCACAGTTGTTTATAAGTGAATAAATTCTTCATTTCAAATACATTTATAAATAATTTAATGAATATTTATGTATTTTGTCAAAGGCAGATACATGGTTTTTGCAATAATATGCAACAATAATATATGGATGTGAAAAAAATTTGTTTTATTTAAAACATTGTGGCGTTTGGAAAAAAAATAAAAGTAGCGAATACTCTATCAAGGGTATCGAAAGACGTATACAATTTTAAATGTACCGTAAAGTATTTTTCATTCTTTAAGCATAACATTTTTCTTAAAATCTATATTTTTTTAGTTCAACAGCTTATAATTTTATAAAACAAATTCATTATCAAAATCGCTGTTGTTAGTTATCGAAAAATAACCAAGATGTGATTTTTGCGTAAATGTCACTAAACTATACAAATTGCTATTATCCATCACACTATGAATGTTTCTTTCATGAGAAAGTGTCCCTTTTTGGATTTGTATGGAACTGTCGTGTGTGGAAATACTATCAGAATCTTGTCAAGCGAGCTTCTGAATGTAAACAAAGAACACCCCGTCTGGTGACCGAAGCTTCAAAGCAGTGCTTCACTTCTAGTGTCAAATGGCCCCTCCTTCCTTTCCTACCTTCATGGTTTTCCCAGCATATGGTAACCCCAAAGTGACGCGGGATGGTTGACTGTTGTATAGCACGTGACAAAGCAAAAATATTGCACGAAAAAGTTGTTCTCCTGAAATGTTTTGAGTGCATGATATGCCTTTTGGTTCACACATGCTTCAAGATGGCCCTGATCTTGTCGCTTTTAAGAGCGTTCTCATTTTTAAATTAATATTCTCAACAAAACGTTTTTCGTTTTTAAAATAGTCATCTTTTTAGTTCTTTTTTATTAAATTAATCTAAGAAAAATATTTCTGTCATTTAGAAACATTTTATCTCCAAGCTTCCTAACAAAGGGAAGATACATCTATTTATATGATTTTTAATATTTTGAAAATAATTGAAAACAGTGTTATAGTCTTATTTTATCCTTTTATACTGATTCAATTAATATAAAATGATTCCTTTATGAAGATATTAAAATAATATTTCATGCAGATAAAGTTAATTTAATTTGAAATAAAAATGGATTTTACGTCTAAACAAATAAGTTTAATTAATTGATTTATTATTTTGTTATAATTTATTTAACTTTCTTGAAAATATTTACATTCTTCAGAAGTAAAAATTAATATTTTACATTTGAAATGATATAATATTTGTTGAATCAATTAACGTTAGACAAAAAATTTCCTATGCTTCCATTATGAGTCAGACTGTTAGCTTGCAAAGTGGCTCTAATGGCCATTCAGGGGTCTTTGTGACCGCTGAGAGAGTTCATGGAAAATTAAAATTAATTTAGGGGTGTGTGGACAACGTCGTGCGTCCGCGAATGTTTTAATATTAAGTAAATTAATTGTGATCGATTTTCATTATCATCAAAGGTAAAATAAATAACAATAGATAAATTGGTAGGGATTTTTACACCCTGAGTAAAATACAAATATAGACAGGTACATAAAATACAAGCATCGCACAGTTGTTGTCAGGCCGACGGCAGCATTGCTTTCTAAAACTCATATCCATTTATTTAGGAAACAGCGGCCGTGACCGTCTATCTACATATCTGTGCAGGTTTAAACAAGAATGTAATTTCACTGTTGCATTTAATAACTTGTCTAAAAGTCGTGCATCTAATCAGCTACTTAATTCTGTTTTGTGCGGGAACTGCAAGTAACAAATTTTAATAGTTTCGAACAAAAGTAAGGGCAGGGGCGGTTTAAACCATTTGGAAGCGCCTGGCGGCAAAAATTTTCTGGGGCCAACTGAAAAATCTTTACTTACCTATATGTTTGAAATATCGGTTCGCAATTAGTGCTGAAATATAATACATAATTGAATGCATATTATTACTTAATATTATTAATATTTTAATAAAATTCTGAATAATATATTTTTAATTCTAAATATTAGTGTATTTATTCAAGACTAAAATACTGCATATTAAGAATAAAATGCATAAAATTTTAAAATTATATTAAAAAAAATTAAGTATGCCATGGGAAATAAACGTAAAACATAAAACAGCTACTATAATTTCTGAAATACGTTAAAATAATTGATTATTAAATTAAATAACTATTAAGCAGAAAGTTTAATAAATTTTTTCCTTTTTTCGTTCTATCAAATTCATCAATTATATTTTAGGTATTAATATTATTTAACACTTCTTGTTCCATAATCCAGTTTAACCAATAACTACTAAACTGGCTAACACAGTTTAACCTTCCTTCTGACATCGTACTTCTTAAATAGTTTTTTACTCTTTTTGAAAAAGAGAAAGATCTTTCTCTTGACACATTGGAAACTGAAATGGTCAAGAAAATTTTCAACATTATTTCTACATTAGGAAAAGTTGATGACATTTCTCGGGAAACATGGTATACTTCTGTGGTAGAACTAAATTTGCCTTCATCTTCT